GCATACCTCAAATTCTCCGTCTACCGCCGCCGGCTGCAAATCCGATGGATTCCTCGCCTCTCAATCATTTGCCAGAAGAAACCATCCACCAGATCTTCTTCCAACTTCCCCTCCGCCAAATAGCCGCCTGCAAGTGCGTCTGCAAAGCCCTTAACTCCGCCCTCTCCTCGCCGTCATTCCGCCACCTTCTATCCGCCCAACACACCTCTCTCTCCCTCCTCGCCCTCAAGCCATCTGATCGCCACATTTCCCCCTTTCCCAACCTCCATGCCTTTGACCCTGCGTTAAGTCAGTGGCTCAGATTCTCTCTCTCTTTCCTTCCGTTTTCGTCTCTTCATCCGATTACTTCTTCAGATGGGCTACTGTATCTCTGGGCTGCTCGACCCCCTTCGCGAAATTCCAATACCGCCCATGTGAGGAATTCTTCCCAGAAGTCCCTTGTGGTTTGTAACCCTTTAATCGGCCAGTTCAAAATCCTCCCTCAGCTCGGCTCGGCTTGGTCTCGCCACGGCTCTGTTTTAGCTGGTTCGGGTAATACTGTCCTCCTCCTTACAGAGCTTGCCATTCTCTACTATTCTGAAAGTAATGGCGTTAATGGGGCTGTTAATTCTGGTGGTGTCTCGTGTAATTGGCTCAAGTTCACCTCGAATTTACCATCAAAGCCTCGGAGTCCTGTAATGGTATCCGATTCGATTCTGGCGTTGTGTGATGTGGGATCTCCGTGGAGGTCGCAGTGGGCTATATATAAGACGAAAATAACAGATATGGAGAAAAAGAAGCATTGGGTTCGGGTGGAGAAGAGGCAGTGGGGTGACATCTTTGGCATTTTGAAGCGGCCGCGATTGGTAAAGGCCATGAATGACAAGAAAGTTCACATGGTTGGAGGGTTAAAAAGCTCGTTTGCTCTCCACAGCTCATGCACTACCATCTTGATATTGAGGTTGGATTTGGAAAGCCTGGAGTGGGAGGAGGTTGGGCGAATGCCTGTGGAAATGTATAGGTGCTTCATGGAGAGTAGTAAATTTAAGGTGTTTGGTGGGGGGAATAAGGTGTGTTTTTCTGCGAAAAGGGTGGGAAAGTTGGTTCTTTGGGAAGAAACTGAGGAGGGCAAGGCCGAATGGAGGTGGATTGAAGGTTTGTCAGGGCATGGAGACGGCCTTTGTCGTGGATTTGTATATGAGGCCAGGCTTGATGCTGTGCCATAGGTGAGAAGGAGCTTTAACGTTGTGGTATCTTATTTGAATTGGAATTCAATGACATTATTTTACATCAAATTGAAAATGTTGATTATGCTTCATGTAATGATCAGGCTTTGATTGTGTTTATGCATTTGTATTGCTTTGGATTGCTTAACTAGTGAAATTAATTATTTGTCTTTCGTGTGTTACATGAAATTTGTTTTAGTAAAAGTTCAAAAGCTCCAAGCTTTACTTGATTGTAGATTGAGGTGAATGTTGTGTCTGTATTTTTTAATATGGGGATAGCTAATGCGTATTGTGGTAGGAGTTAATGGCTGCTTTAGTTTAATAGCATTCAAAATATGTTGTGAGTTGCAACTCTTAGGAACTTTGTAGGAATGATGGTCATTAGTGTGGAATTATTTGTCAGGTGTATTTAGATAGATGAGTTTTAATTTTGTCAGGATTCTTTTGGTCAAGGGAAAATTCCCTTTTTGGAAAGTTGTAGACTTGTAGTTTATGTTTTCAGAGACACATGGTTGCATTGTGTATATAGTAAAGTTGGATAGTTGCATGTTCATTGTGATTCTATTAATTCATATAAATAGCAAATGGTCTTATGCCTCACAGTAGGACAGTACAATTGTTAAATTGAGAATCAAACTCCTGATGTTAAGAACTGTAGGCCTAATCAAATCGTAGGATTCTCTACAATTTCTAAGCAAACATCATAAATAAATTTAATTTTTAAAAGGAAAAAATTATTGAAAAATTATTACACGTTATGCTGTCTAAAACATAAGGCACTTATATTAATAGTGAGAAACAAGGGTCTAACCCCCACCAAAAAGCTTAACTTTATATGGAGAGATGGTCATACGTTCTTTGCTAGTCCTGGGATTGACAAGTAAAATTACTACCTTTTGGTTATGTATGGAAAGTTTGAATTTGTTTGGCTTTGGTTCAAAACTTTCGTGTGAAATAATATGTAGTAAGTAGTAACTTGCACATTTTTGGGATATTTTAATCAATCATTTTTTTCCAAGAATCCTAATTGTGTTTCTGGGGCTGTAACAAAGAATATCAAGGAAATCTGTTATGGAAACATGAGCCATGTCAGGATTTGCCATTGTCAATATTGCACCATGCCATGAAGATTTTCTTGTTTCAAGCAAAAGATCTTTCTATTGCTGCTGAGACTGATTTTATTGTGATGTTTGCACTGTTGCAGCAGATAAAGGGCTTGTTCGATAGTGATTTTGAGAATTGATTTTTTGACCATTAGAGAGAAAAGTAGATCCTACCTGTGAGAGATGAAGTAAAAAATGACGGCTGAAATAGTGAAATAATGGACAAAAAATTGATTTTTTGGAGTGAAAAATCAATACCAAACATCCACCAAATCTGTCAAATGCCTATTGATGCTTCATGCTGGATTAGTATATGTTTGGCATCTATATGCTTTTAGAACAGGCATATTGTCAAGGAGGTAGATAAATCTTCGAGTGCTTATACTACAACTTGATTACAACAGTCTTCAATTTAGACACCAGATTAAAATCATTATATTAGAGTTAACTTCATCTGCCAGGATTATAACCAGATACATCAAGTCACAGATTGAATTTTTACTTCACCGTGGTCGTAAAATCATTTCTTTCTATATTTATCATGTTTTCAAAAATATTACCTTAGAAATTCAAAATTATTTATATTTTCAGTTGGTAGACTATAAAACCTTATGCTCAATTTTGTCAGTTGACATACCTCTATGCTTTTCATGAAGAAATTAGATTTTATGTCAATACTTTTGTACTAGATAGCATTGATGTCAAGACAGTATTTAAGTTTCATCTCTTTGTGATGTGCTATTTTCTATTTGTTTGAACTTTCTTATTATAGGAAAATTGTACTGTAATTTGGATTAAAGTTAATTATTTTTTACAATAGGATTTATTATTCTAATGTGACTTTTATCTCTTTTTCTTCTTCTTTCTTATTTAGAATAGGATTTCCTCTTTATTTTAGATTAGGATTTTATTTTCTTTCTATGATTTTAGGGCCTGTTTGTGCCCCCTTTAATTTCAAAAAGTGTATTATAAAATAGTGATTGATATTGAAATGTGTGTTTAAAAAAAGAATGATTTATTTATTTATTTATATGTAATATTATTTTAATGAAAAATGTGTGGTTGAAAAAATAATATAGTAGAATGTGATAGGATGGTTGACAAACAATGGCTTAATTTTCTTTCCTTTTAGAATTTTGAAGCGCTGAGTGTCCATTTTGGATACCCTTATATCCCCCTTTATGTACATCTAGAGTAACCCTAAAATTTTAGTTTAGCTTTCTTATATTGGTAAGATTAAAAAATTATTTTGCCTATATCAACAAAGGTTTTGTATTCTTTTCAATGGGAAAATTGCAGCAGCAGTCTCTAACCTTTCCATTTTTTGTAGACTTTACCTTAACCTTTATTTTGTGCCCGCGAAGGTCCTTTACTTTTCATAAATATGCACATAAGGTCCATTTGGACGGAAATCATCCAAAACACAATTAGTTGACCAAGAAAATTCGTTGAACTATTTGCTACTGTGCCGATTTTATTGGATGTTGATACCTTTTTGGACGGTGTTTTTGGATGGTGGTTTGGACGATTTTATTGAATGATGATTCCTTAATTTTTCCGATCAACTGAATGTGTTTTGGATGATTTCCGTCCAAGTGGACCTCAGGTGTATATTTATGAAAGGCTAGAGACCTTTGCTAATACAAAATGAATGTTAGAGTAAAGTATGCAAAAAGCAAAAATGTTATGGACTGCTGCTGCAATTTTTCCCTTTTCAATTTAACAATTCATTATAATAAAAACTATTCTCGACAAATTTTCGAGTTGGTTCAACTTTATTATTATTTCAAAGCGTTCGACCCTTCAACGACCAAAATCAAAAGGATCGGCAACAATCAATCATTAACCTATCCCAACTAGCACAACATTCCATCTCCGGCTACGAAGAAGCAAACTCTCATCAGGTTAACCTACGAGTGTTGCATTACCTAGGGTTCTACTGCATAACCCTAATGTTTGAAATCCCTATAGATGTTGGATTGATTACCAATAATAGCAGGGTTTTCAAGAGGTCTTCACTCTTGTGCCAGAGGAATGCAGTCATCCAAAATCTTATAAGAGCTAAAGGCAATTTGTGGCAGACTGAAGAAATTACCCAAACTTTCAATAGCAAGGAGCCATCAAACCAAATACTTGTGCATATGCAAGGGTCGAGCATCGTGAAAGAGATATTGTTTGATTTTTCTTTTGAGGATGAAGATGATAACAACTTGGCCCCTGATTGTATATGAACTCGATCAATTTGCCGCCATACTCATCAACATGGTCAAACTTATGGGCATAATCAAAGTAGACAAAAAGTTAAAACCAATGATAGATATTGATATTGACATTCCATGCGTAACCCGAGCACTATATTATCCCGACGAATTCGACGGACCTTCTTTACGATTTTCGGTCATGAGTGCTCGGGATTCATTAAGTCCTCGGGACATATCCTGTGCTCGATCTTGATGGTTCAACTAATTACCACTGAATACAAGGATGTCGTCAGAAATAAGACCTCGAGCAAATCCCTTGAGATCCTCAACTACCATCTTGCTTGAAGGTCTGTCCTCTGAGAACTCTGATCTGACCAAAATACTTCAAACCACATCTCCTAAACCCAAGAGAGTCGTCTTAGTAATTGGTCTTCTAATCACGGTAGGATTCAAATACTGCCTCCTTATGGGACTCTATCGGATAGGGATACCCAGTTAATTGAATCCTACCAGGAAAGTACCATATACCTCTATAAATATAGAACCTTAGGCCATTATTTAGGTACGTTTTCATTATTCTCCAGTTTATAGCCTCACATATATAATTTCCTTTTTAATTTAAGCATCGGAGAGGCGACGAGATCATACCTCGTTGCCTTTGTTTCAAGAACCGGAAAACTACGATCGTACTCATTCAAAGTCCTCAAGCACAGGAAATCAACAGGTACGATATTTGGTAGCATCAAATATAAAAGGCTGCTTACATATCGAAGACATTCTCAATTAGATTAACAATGTCGAGAATTTCGCTGGTTATTTGGAAATTTTAGATAACCTCCCAATTAAACTTGTAGCATGTTAAAAGGAGCAAAGTTGACATTGAACTATACAATTCTGTAGGATAACGATGTTAACAAAGTACATCAAGAGATGAATATTTCTTCAATTTTCGATGTGCCAAATATTTTGACTATTTTCCTCATAATTAATTATTTTTCACTTCTTCAACCAAACTCGAGTACGAGTTTTTCTAAGTGGAAGAGATTGTCATAGGACAATCCTATTATAAACAGGATGGAAATTAGTTATAATTTATAATAGAATTTCTTGTTGTAATAGGACTTTACCTCTTTTTCTTCTTCTTTCTTGATTAGAATAGGATTTCTACTTTCTTTTAAGATTATTTTTTTTTTCCTCTTTAGATTTTTTTCCCTTTTAAGTTTAGTTTTCTTAGAATATGATTTCTTCTTTCTTTTAACTTGTAATAAAATTATTATATACAAATTTTCTAGTTGGTTCAATTTTTT